AGGATAAGGAGGAGGAGGAGCCACCTTCTCGTTCCGATCTTACTATCGTATTTGGAGGGTGTGTGATGACATAGTGACATGGTGGAAACATAGAGGAAACATGGAGGATCGTCAAATCTTGACCATGAATAATCAGATTTCACGTGTGGAGGTTATATTTTAGGCACACTTGTTGTGAGTGAACTTATCACACTTGGCTGATACCCACATCAACTGCTATCTGCTTTAACGCATGACAGACAATGAGGATCACAGACTGTCAGTCTGTTCTTCACTCCTTAAGTGGAACTTCCGAAAACGTGGCCAGTATTGCCGAATCTATGCTGATCCACTGAATGACTTGTGATAGGAAATGGATTGTGTGCAATTGGAATGCACCGGGCGTTCCCCATCCTTTCACTCACTACGAACACTACCACTTAATGCTTCGTACAGAGGCACCACTTCATCGCTGCACAGCAAGACTATGGATGCGATGTGGTGTTTAGTGTGCGTGATCCGCTGCAGGCGTATATATTAACTTGTCTACTGCCGATAACCCATCAAGCAGTTATGACTCGGATCCACCTATCCACTACTTTATAAGTAGCTATGGGAACTAGTAAATTTGTGATAACTTTTACTGTGAGGAAATTGGGATTAATTATGGGAGGGAGGGTGAAAGGGTGATAGGTAGCGAGGGATTGAAGGATTAAGCACTTAAGAGAACATCTACTCCAAGTGAATGTAAGCGTGCTAATTGTACTAGACTATATTCTTAGCTGAAAATGAGAAATAAGGTGGATAGAATAAATTTCAGAATAACATTTGCGATATTAGGAGCCCAATCAAGGCACTTCTTTTTGCATCCTTTATCAACTTGACGTTATTTCCTATGGATAAAATAGACGTATTCCTCTCTGTTGGAATTGAATTTTTGTCTCTAAATAGTAGCCCTATTGTATAGTTAACAATGAGCAGATGTGTCATCAACTTGAATCAAGGAATCAAAGGCACTTTTGTAGCACTTTCCATTGAGCATTTAGTGGTCTTATTTAAGATGCTTTTAGCCCATATTTTTATTTCAAAGCAGTGAAAATGTTACTTACTCTTGCAATTTTTTTCGCACTCTTCAAGTGTCTCGAAGTTATTTTTATTTCCACCACATCCACCAAAGGTGAACTCGACACATTGGTCAAGTTTCTTGTCGTAAGCGTAACGCAGCAGTAAAGCAAAACATGGGCCATGATCCATTTCCAAGAGGCAATATTCCGGTTTTGAAGGTACTGTTTTTGTGCAAAAAATGGAAAAAATTACATTACCTAAGTTGATATTGTCAATTTACATAACTTTTTTGTGTTTGTTGCAAATTAAATACACATTCTTATATTTACACCATTTTATATTTTTACAATACTAGTTAGCTTCCTTTTGAATTAAAAGCGAAATCCATAATTATTTTCAATAATACAACTTCAAGATGAAGGTGATACTGAAAAACCGAAAAAAATACTACGCCATGACATAAGTAGGCGATGTTGTAAACTTTGGGGATGATTGAGCTAAAAGTTGATGTATTGAGAGTAGATAAATCCAAAACTATGTGAATAAATCTAGAGTCAGATATTTACTTTTTAAGTATAAAGGGTCAAAATAATTTACCAAGTGGAAGTGAGCATGTCTCCATGCATTGCTGAATCGTGATAAAGTTGTTGTTATTTCCTGAGCATCCACCGTAGACGAATTTCTTGCATTTACCAGAGGTAGTATCGTAGTAGTAACGTTCGATGTTAGCCTTGCAGGGTCCCTGAGCCGGAGGTAGGGAGCACAATCCCGGCTGGCTTTTTCCCGAAGCTGTCTGTAGGGCACGCGTCTTATCTACGTCTTCTAAATTGCACAGATTCTTTAAGAAAAATTTCAAAATTTTGCGAGAATGTTGCTGCAGTGTTTGGCAGACTAACTTTTGAGAAATCAGTGTAAGTTTGTTAATAATCATGCAGACATTTACGAGGAAACAATGTAGTGCACCACATTAAATTAAACGATTTACCTAGTGATGCGTAATTCAACCATGGGAACTTAAATAAAGGGATGAATGTAGATGTTCCATACAATGTCTATTTTGGAGAAACAAACAAAGGTGGGAAATGCTTTCCCCCCTTTATATAAAATGCTATTTTTTAAATAACGGATTAGTAGGCCTGTTTTAAAATGATTTATTTAGTGACCATTTAAAATGACTTCTTTAAAAACCAAGTATTTGATTTAGATCAAGGAAAACTGTTAAAATGCATTCCAATTATCTACGAAGGCTGCCATCACTGCAGCAAAATATCGTTAGTAATCTATTAGAAGACCTTCAAAAAGAAATGGTTTGAGCTAGGCAGATCATTTACCTGTAGTCTGTGTATTTGAGCTGTCAGCGTGTTTAGGCGCCAAAACCAACCACAGGACAACACCAGTAAGAGCGAGAGTAGCGAGTATGAAAAACGCAAGCCAAAATTTGAGGCAACAATTATTTCCTCCGCCCTTTTTAGAGGATCCTACCTCTTCGTACCTAGTTCCCGCCATACCTGCAGGTTCTGGTGTGAGTACACTGTGATACACGTGCACACACAATAACAGGCCCGTGGTTTACCTCGAATAGTCTTAAATAGCGCGGCACTTCGCCAATGAAACGCAAAATCACAGGAGAGCACAGAGCTTTTCCATCTCAAATAGCTTGATAGCATTGGTCTCTTTTCGGGGTAAGGTTGCGTGTAGGTAAACTTGAAGGGTACTGGAGGGTTAATTGGCATAGAATTTTGTGTATTCTGCTAGCATTACATGCCTTGGGTTACCCGTGTAACGAACGTCGACGACAACAGGCAATGTTTTGTGAAGGTTTTTTAGTTGTCCCTCCTTTTACTAACATTTGTATTTGTCAACAAGTTTCAGTGTTAGAGGCGACTTTATCATAAGTTGGAGGAGAGGCTGGAGGTCTGAGAGAATGCATAACATGGATAGGTCTTCGGGTCACTAGTGAAGGGGCAACCATTCTAAACCTTGACAAATTGCTAACAGGAAATTGGTCACTTGTGCCTTTTGTTTATTCAATTCTTTTTATTATAGAGGTATTTAACTCTACATTAATCAACTAGTCTGATGTATGGGAGGTAGGAGACAAATGCTGTTTCCATTGTATAAATCGGACCACTAAGCAAAACAGTAGTCCTTCCCTTGACCTTCTTTTCACCTTTACTCTCAAGACCTATTTAAATCCAGGAAAGGAAGGCTAGAAGATAATTAACTACAGGTGAATGATGTCCAGTTCTGTACAGTCTCCTCAATGCAGAGGTTTGAAATCGGAGGTAGAGTAGAGAAATGACGACAATACTCCCCCTTGTTCTCATGCTGCTGTCGTGAGCCTAGCAACCCTTCACATCACCCTTTAATTCAGAGATACTTCATGATTAAATAATTGAGCTGTTATGGCCTAGTGCTCAAGGGTGTGAGTTTGAACCCTGTCGATTTCCCAATCCACGACATCAGGAGGTAAAGGCACCAAAGGGGAAACCTTTGTTTATCAAGGGGTATGAGCAACGACGATGTACACGTACGTGACGGCTGTAGGCAATGGTTCAAGTCTTGCGTATGTACGGTGTTCGATTAACCTTGACCTTGCAGTGATATAGGTCAATCAGTGGGGTTGAGCAAAATCGCGACATTCTAAATTACTCGGAAATTATGCACAACAAAGGAAATAGGGACTACTTCTATGACTGCAGACACCCTCAACACTTGGTTGTGCTTTTATAGGAGAATTTTGGCAGATTGGTGTGCCAGAGTCTAGTTGTTGCTTCGTTTTATTATTCAAATTACTTCAGGAAAACAATGCTTAAGGACGATCAAATGGTATCAAATTTCACTGTTCTCACTGAATCAACACATTGCTGATGTGAAGAGATTTAAAATGCATGAGAAATATGAAACGAGAAAAGCTAGAGCTTAATGTAGACATAGGCTGATTCCGTCAAATTCGTGGGCTCTTTAGGAATAAAACAACGCCGATTTGTAAAAGGCCTAAGAACCACTTTTAAAAAGCTCCTTGGTGGTGCCCAAAACAACATCCCACGGAGTTTGGAGTGAGAAGGACACGGTGCGAGGATGAGGGGCCTCGTCTGTTCACTTGCCGAAACGTAAGAGGCATCACTTGAGCAACCTTGAAATTCCAGGAGTTAACCGATCTTCAACAGCAAAGTGCAAACCGCCCCATTGATGCTTTGATTTTACAGGGGAATATTTCTATTTTCGATTGCTTCTTTTTGTCCGTTGGACAGTTTTGACTTTTTTGAAAGCATTGGATCCTTGTGACACAAAAAATTGTGCTGTCAGATCTCAAGACGACAGCTTTTATAATGTCTGCTAGAGTTAAGGTCTGCACCTAATACGTTTTTTAATCTACCAAGGTAACTTACAATTAAAAATCCTCAGCAAAAGCAGTTTTATCGCTGAAAGTTTGGCATAAATAAAAAGCAGAGTAGATATTCAATACAATACCAATTTCACATAGCGCCTAGCGCACAAAAATTGCCTTACGTTATTCAACTTATCAATTGCAAATGTAGATCTAGGCGTGCGGGGTGTTACCTTGGCACTCAAAATTGTGGATAATTGGTTTATCCTACCTTCGCATGAGTTTCGATGCAACACCCACAACTGCTGCCTGAGCCAACACTGCAAACGCAGCGAAATTTGGCGGCAGTATCAGTAATTAGATCCTAAAGTGGGGGAATGAGTACCTGACCACGAAGAGGTCTTCCTTCGTTCAGTAGAAAAGCATGGAATTATATGCAATTTGATATCTCAAATTGACTTAATAAAGGGCAACTTAATTTACGTCTAAATGACGTCTTAGTCCATGTGAGTAATATACACAGCCACTCAGGTAGTCCAGTAGCGCTTACTACTTCCTTCCACCCTGTGGGTACAAGAAAAACTTGTCCAATCCACCAAGCCCAGGGTGGAGGTAGTCATTTGGCGGGTCCAGTGCACCAGTAACACCCAGTTATTCACGAATGAAATGCGCTAAAATCTCACCTTATTATAGACAGATATACACACATGCATATTGTTACTCGTTTTATTTACCCTACATGATAAAACGCCACGTCAAGTCAGATGAAGCCTACTTAGGACTTGAATGAAATGCTAGCTATTTTCAATGCGGGATTACTAACCGACAGAATAGTACGCAATGGACAATGACATGATACTTCGCTTCAATCTAAAAGAAGCAAAGCTGTGAGGGGGGGAGATTCACGGAATCGCTCATCTACTGAAAGCCATTTCAATCTAAAAATTTACTCTTCGGATTAATACAAGCTACTCATTATTCATAATAGCATTCTATTAGTAAAGACCGTCACGTACCATACCTAAGAGCAGACACGCATTTATTCAGTCAACAAAGACACCAATTCACCCAAAATCTAGAAATCAAACAATTTTACTTGATGAGAAAAAAGTGTGGAAAGTACAGTCGAACTCCTATTACGATAGCGTGCCTTTTGGGGTGAATCTGATGAAAAGGACCATCCAAAAAAAGACGATCACAGAGAGGAGGAAGAGGATCCAAATACAGAGTCCGAACCTGTGTCCCAGTTCCTCGCGGACACGCCAAGAAACAGAGGCAAGCGACTCGGTATTGGCCTGAGCTATAGCACTTGATGCACTCAAAATGCCAATATCGGCGCGTATACGATCACCAAGAGCCACTTGAGTCGATTGCAACTCCTTAGTAAGGTAAAGCATACTCTCAGCAATCTTATCACGTTCCAATACTTCCACCTCAAGTAAACCACTCGTCTTCCCCACGATTTTCCTTTCACCATCTCCTACGAGGCCTATTTATAATCGGGAAAGATGGGCTAGAAAGTGGCTAAGTACGAATATCAAGTGAATGAATCACATATAAAAATTAGTGAAAACTGACCAAGATTTAGGCGAGCCGCTTTGTCGTTCAAATTTCTGGATTTACAATGGGAGTTCAGGACATCCGTGAGAAAACGTGTGCTCGTCAATTTGGATTTGGTATGCTGGTGAATTTGACCGTCTGCTATATCTGTATCAAAGTCCTGTTTATTGGCAGTTTGTTCGTCAGTTTCATCCAACCACTTAATAGAATCAGAGGCATCAAGAGCAAAGAAGATGGCTTTTCGATTTTGTAAGCTCCGACGTGTTGCTTGGGCATCATACCGCAACCATTTGAGCATATTCTCTTCAAAATCGTCTCTGCATTCGACCTCTCCGTAGGAGTCAGGTTGCGAGTACCTTTCCGTATATCCTGGCAGCTGATCGATCTATAAAATGCCGTTACGTGGATTTAGGGAAAAAAGACAGTAGAGGGAGCTCAAGTCATGTGTTTGCAAAACCTAGTGTACATACATTGAGTTGAATTTCGACCAAAATCAAGGTATAGGAGCACTAACTCACACGATTTTTATAAATGTGAAGGTATTCAGCTGCCGGGCGCAAGCTTGATTTTGTTAAAGAATTGAAAAGTTCTTGGAGTTTTCTGCGATGAAGCAAAGATTGGCTACCCTTTCGGCTGTCGAAGGCCGACAGAGTTTCCGTGCAATGCAGAAGTCGGACAAAATTAGCCTCAAGAACAGAACCTCCTAACATGCAGGCGAAGCGCACACATATTCATATATTTTAAGGCTTCTTGATGCATGAAAACAAATCATCTGCGAGTCAGTTTTTTTGCACGTTTCTGGAAAATTTGTTCAATAAAACCAAGTAACCTAGTAGAAGGCTTTTAGTGTTCGCAATATTCCACTGGATTCTGCACCATTATATTTCCTTTCTAAATGGGGCAAATTTTGTTATAAACGCAGACTGGTTTCTTTTAAGCAAGTGAGGAAATACAAATGAATGTAGGTAGATTAATGTAGCTAGTAATTAAAAAATTGCCAAAAGAATCTTTGTTAGTTCAATTTCGTAGATAAGCTTTGGAAGTAGTCAAGTAAGGTTTGCTATTGGCTTTTATAGACCATTGAGGTTTAGGGCAATCGCATTTTTTTGCGTATACACGCAAAAAATACTTCTTTGCAAAAATTTGTTATTCTTGATGCATTTTTCAATATTCACTTTACCAGCGTACAGCATGTCTATTTACTTAGTTGTTATCTACCTTAAACTATTCTGTTTGACTCCGTTTCGTACACATTCCTTTACTCTAAAGCTGACCCAGTATGTCTTATGATAAAATCCAGCCCTGACAGTAAGTATTTGTTTAAATGCATTTTTCAGAGTAGAAGTGGTTAGTTCATGCGAACCCCCTGACCGATTAGTGAGAAATGGACTCCAACCTTTATGTAATCCCTATTGTTGGTACGATTTTACCCATTTTATCTGCTGAATAATATCCTCCTCTATGCAAACCGCTTGTTCTGCGTCTGTGAATGCAGACGTGGAAGAGAGAAAGCCTTAGCCCTTTGCGTAGCACTCCGTCTCTGCCCATTTGCATATCGGGCTTTCACAAATCACTAAAAGTTCAATTTAACCCCGGATAGCTTAAACTTTACTGCAGTTGATTACACGTATCTGACGGCTAATTAGTTAGGGGAAAACAAATGACAATGTGACTATGCTCCCATATACACCTGGGGCGTGTTACTTTATGAGTAATTACGAAGAAAGGGATTTATCCAAGTACTACGGAACTACTATGTACAGAAGAGATGGAGGGTAAAAACATGGACTAATTACACGTCACCAATTAGGGAATGGAAACCGCAGCATTGGAAACCCCACGAATCCACACCTCTAATTTAAACAGTCATCGTTCATTTACAATAGGCTAAAACCGCGGAGCCTAAGAATTCATTATTTCTTTTTTAATTTAGACAATCGGTGAAATTGCAAAAGCCCTGCTGTTCCAGTTTATTAAGCTGATAACCCACAATTCGTAAGCGCAAATTATAAGATCACATGAAAGTGGTTAATTCCACAATTATTTCGCATTGCATTATGCTTTGATTTATACTGAAAGTACGTTACAAGCCAATGGACGCTCTTCATCTATAAACATCTAGATCCTTTTGTATGACTTTTTTAGTCTAGCAGCCGCTAACCTATTTAATTTATGCTTACCACAATTTAATCAGGCAATTGATACGTCATGTTACAAAGAGTACATCGTTATTGTTTTGAACAGAGAGCTATTCAGACTTAATAACCGTGGAGTTACGCTTACATGCGTGGTAGGGAAGGCCAAGCCTATGTTTGTACGAATGTGCGGCCTGCTGTCATAAAGCGATTTAATGAAGATGTTGTATTGATAAGTATTATTAACAAAAGAATCAGTTGAAGATAGCAAGTGGATGCTATTTTTGTTGCTTTAGGCTACTGACATTGTGACATTTCATCAAAGAGACATGAAAGGATTTAATTGACTATTAAGTAAGATGCTCATCAAAAAATCCATCATCTGTTTAAAACCCATTAAGGCGTTGGTTGAACTTTTAACTGTGAAATTTTCCTTAAAGAAATGCCTAATTTAATAATGAAACTTTTTGATAAACATTTACTCCTTAAAGACTGCGAAAAGAGTAATTCTAAGGGATGCTTCTAGATGGTAGGTGGGTGAATTTGACTAACTTTGCTGATTCACATAAAGGGGATTAAATTCAATTTCCTAGAAAACTAATATATGTATTTTGGAAAATATATAGGGTTTCCAGCCAACTTACCTATTTCCTCGACCCAGACATAAAACTGCAGACTCGGAAATACTACATAAGGTTTGTTTGGTCACATCGATTTAGACTTACATTGTGTGCGAAGCATTCAAGGTATGGGGAAGTGCACCAAAACATGGTTATAGGTTATAAAAAAAAATTGGTGTTTAAATTATGCAGAATGGCTTACTCACTTGCGCTTATTGCATATATGTGCACGTGGGACAGCACATGGGTCAAAATTGTCGTGTCAAATTGAACATGTCTTTAGCGCAAAAATTGTTGAGCCTACATTTACATGGCGACCTCTCTTTATAAGAATCCCCCAAGGATGAAAACCCACTAAACGATGATGAACCGGTGCTGCATTTTAAGTCTCTCTTCCATTTTTGAAAAACTTCTGCAAAATTTACGTTTAAAAAGTCGATTTTGGATTTTACAAATTCCCGTCTCTAATAAACTTCCCAGCTAACTGTCTTAAACCAATAGAAATGACCAAGATGTGATTGGTTAAAATAGTCTAATTAAAACGTATTTAAACTGCGCCTGATTTTCAATGATTTATTTACAATAATATTTTGTGGGTGAGCGTTAATAGTTATTATTTATTACCAAACCTATTTCATGGGTATCACAACCATGTAATGTCCTTTTATCAGTAGGATGGTTTATAATATTCCTCATCGAAGCTACTTAGATTACCTAATAATTATTGACACACAGACGCTTCTAGCCCCCTCAAAGTCTTGTGATGGTTGGGCATAAATTCCAATATCTACGGTATCTTTTTTGGCCAGTAGTTTTTCATTAATAACAAGTGTTGACCTTACCAAATTAAATAAACCATTTTTAGTGTCGAAATTGAAAAAACCAGACCAATTTTCGTCCCCGTAACCATTTGAGATATCAAACAATAAATATTCTTGCATAAGGATTAAGGGTTAAGGATGAGTCGTTTTTCCTACTTCAATCTGCGCAATTTGTAGATAACCAAACTGAGACTAAAATAAGTTTGTAGAAATGAAAGAATTTCAGATTTAAAGGCACTACATGACTTATTCTACGTCCCTAATTTGTTGGCGAGGCGGAACCCCATCCCAAGTATCATGCTAATTTAAACAGAACTTCGTACATTACGCGCTTTAGCTGTTTACTTTTAGGTTCACTATAAAAAACTCACTAATTTAAATGCAACAAATTTAAGGTTTCCAAAAATTAGTTGACCCAAAATGTCAGAGTTCACTTAAAATAATTGATTCATCAGTAAAAGGGAAGGATAATACTCTTCTTTAGTACTGTCGCCTTCTTATTCTGCCATTAAGAACAGTGAAGTTACTACTAATCCCATACTTTACCATTTACAAATGGAATGAAAACTACCCAGAAAAATATGCGTATATAATAATGGCATTGTTGCATGGAATGCCTTCTGTTTATCACTCCCCAGTTTGTTTTCAGCTGCAAATATTTGCATCAATCTTTCGAACCGGAAAAAGTGAAACTAGAATTTGTATTTTAGAGATGTCAATGAATTTTGTAGTATTTCAGCTGATCTTGGCTGCAGTTATTGCATTCGCATCACCCTCTAAACCGAAGGCTCTTTCAGTGGACGAGCCAGTACCAATGTATCTTCTGTACGGTACGTGAATAATTTAGTTTGCATCCACCTCTTGTCTACTTCTTCTAATTGAAGCCATTTAGTGAATCCAACTTTTGATTACTTTTGCCTGCCGATTAGGATCGAGTCAACCTTTTTACAAGCATATGAAAAGTCGCCTTAACTCTAACTTCGAGGGCACTGCCTAAACTCCCGCAATTGTAGTAGTAAATTCAGTATGACACATATAACCTGCTTTAAATTCCCTAAAATCTAGTTAATTACCTTTAAGGTGATCCAACAATAATTGCCGAAGAAGATGAATTGATTGACCCCTACCTTGAATACTTGAGAGAAAATTTCAAAAGAGGTAATTTGCCATTTACACTTATGGAAGGCGAATTAAGATCGGCGCAATCACCTTGGTTTCATGAATTCTGATGAACTCTACAATGCGTTCCCATTGCCTCAACCGGAGTTTCTTGGATGATAACCACACACCCACGAAACGGCTACCCCCTCATTTCCCAATTTGAGTAAATTTACTTCAACCCTTTGACTTCCCTCCAATTCATTTTACTTAATGCAAATAAGTAGATATTTGATACCTGGACATGAACAAACAAAAAATTAATTAATTACATAATAGGAATAGAAGTATCTTTTTTAGCTAGAGGACCGTAAAATACCTTTATATTTTGAGTCATTAATTTATTGGTGTGAAGAATTAGTGGATGCAGAAGTTGTAAAGACATACATATAAATAAAAAAAAACTGTATGTAAAATCTTTGCGGACAGTTGAGATTTTATGTAGAAAACAATCCCATGTCCATTCAAAACGGAACAAATTTATGTCAATAATGATAAAATGGGTTCAAGATGTGATGCATACAGCTTTAGATATTTCTTCACTGATATATATGTATATATATATATATATATGTAGAGGCGCAGATTATAAAAAGTAGAAAGGAAGTAGCGGCGTGCTTGTTTGATGCTTCATCTAAAACATCGCATGGCGTCGGAAGTTTGAATCGAGCACACCTTTGAGGGCGCTTCTAGACTTGGCCTTCATTTCATCAATATCAAGAAGGCACACTGAGTGGATAAAAACACGACCCGTTTTTTGACCCCTTTCCTTGTGCTTGGACAGATATAGATTGCGCTGTGTAGCAATGCACGTTTCTGGATCTTTAAATTCTAAAACGAGAAGGTGATCATCATCACAATTTTTAAGTCTATTTTGGTGGAACACAAACTTGAGAATTAAAGCCGTTATTGAATAAATTTAACCCACAACCATACTGTTTCTATATCACTTCTATACCTAAAGTGTCTATTTTACATGTCCTGTCGACATGTCGATTGCTAAGTCAAGGTGATACCTAGCACTAGGGAAAAAAAAACTGTCAGGGAAAGGTGGTGGATGAGGATGAGGCAGTACCTCTCCTCCTTCCTTCTGTTCAATTAAAAATTGTAAATCTCATTGGCAAATAATTGCACCGACACGAGATCTTGTATTATCTCAAAAGCATACAAATAGAGGCATTCTTTCCACTGTTTCGTTTGCTTTGACTGCCCCTCAATAAGGAGTTTCTCTAGCACAATTTTTGGGTGAACTTTATTGAGTGACACTACTTAGCTGTAATTGACGTCTTAACGTACAAAACCATTTATCATCATAAGTCAATCACCAAACAACCCGAAACGCACAACGAATTTCCACAACACAAGTGCAAGAAGTGATGCATCGGTCGGTAGTCCTTTAGGCCTATTATCATCTGTTGACGTAATTGTCAACCCGGTGTTGCATAGTCACTTCGGCTGAGCATCACTAAAAGTTGTTTATCTACCTTAGCCTTAGCAACTAGGATATATTTAAATGGAACACTTCAACTGTCTGTAAATATACGTTCCCACCTACGTCTTAATGATTCAAAACTGATTTTCTTGAACCAAGCATAAAGAATCGCAGTCTGCACTTGTAATACGTGTGTTGAATGTGCCATTGACGTAAAAGACGTCTAAAACGCTAAAACTTTTCATCAAAAAGAATGTGACAAAGCGTAATTATATAGACCTATCATCACGTGTTGTAAGCAGATTGACAACTGCTTGCCATCTATGCTGTGAAATAGCATACACATCAGAATTTTGCAACTTTATCCTGTGCCGAATTCCTGTTCCTGTACCATGTGACCTTGCAAAAGAAGAATAACTTTTTTATGATTAGATTATGACAAGATTTGCACCCTCTTTGTTATCATGTCACTAGTAAATAAAAGATTACCCGAACAGCTTTACTACATTACCTTGAAGCTCTGGATAGTTTGAGGCTACAGTGATCTTTTCGTTTGATTGAAGTACTGGAAGAATGTCCTTTTTTGTGAGAAAGAGAACGGAGTCTTTTCGTGATAGGGGTAGAGATTCCATAATAAACCAAAAGTACTCCAGACTTTCATCTAGTTTTGTCTAAATTCACGAAATACATCCGTAAACAGAGTCAATGTTACCTTGAATTCGGGAAGTTGACTTCTTTCTAGAAAATCAATTAAAGACGCAAAGAAAAGGACTGCGTGCACGGTCTCGAATAGGGAAATCCACTTCCGACGATCTCCGCGCTGATCACCTACGTTAACTAACCTGCGAAAAGAAAGGAATAAAAAGGTCAATCAGACCAGTACTCCACTCTCCAAACCTTCAAAACTATGACCTTAAGAGGATTATACTGCAAACTAACAGCTGTTTTATGCAACCAAAACCATAAAAATAAGGCTGTCATTCAGCCGAAAAACCTTGACAAAATGACAGATTGAAATAATTGACACCATCAATGAGTCGGCATTGAGTTCAACGCTGCTTTAAAGCTGCCTTCTCTTAAAATTTGTTGCGTGACACTTGGAGGTCGGATAGGTGGTAGAAAACAGTACCACAAAGCAAGTTTTTCACAAAAATAGTTTGATTCTGTAGATGAAATACCCAATACCCTCATCTACTTAGTCTACAAAGGCAAAATCACTTAAGACACCAAATCGCAATAACCAGTGAATTTATTATTCTCTCCTTCCATGTTCACCTTTAGTCCGCTTTTCTCGCCCATCAGAAGAATGTGCAGTACACCTCGAATTGCTTGATGACTGACAAATTTGTGACAAGGAATTCCATGCTCAACTGTCTAGGCCACCTTGGTGAGTTTTTTAAATCGACTCATGGAAAAAGGAGCAAGTACTTGAACGAAAGGAGACTATCATTAACCGGAGTGCTTGTCAAGTAAAGGTGCTGTTGGTTATTCCATTATAAACACTTCTACTCTTTTGTTCCATCCCTCAAACACTTGTTTACATTTGCCAAAAGCAAACGAACTCAAAAAACCTCTGTGTTGGGACTTAAAGTTCTTTTACTGGCTACTCGCACACATTCCAAATAAAGTGATCCAGACTAGTCCGAGTAACCCAAACGAATAAGTTAAATTGAATGCGTAAGATCTTTTCCCTTTTGATCAGGCGTACTTTTCAGGATTTATAACAACTCTCATTTACAAATGACACATTTGAACCAGAAACTGACATTCGCGGTAGTTGTCGACAGCTGCTTTGGCTGCCACACAGAGCAAAACAAAGCTAGTGGTGGATGCTGAAGTCACGAGGATAAAATTACCTTAATGAAGTGGACCCGATTTGGAGGAGAGATTCTCGAACGGCATTGCAAGGCATTTGAACAAGCAGAATATCACGTAGTGTCGGTACGTAGTCATTTTGTATAAATCTGTCGACATTATTGATAAAGCTAGAAAGTGGAAGAATGCCACCATAATAATAATTATTATTACTTTTTGCTAATTGGAACAATAAACCATCATAAAATCATTTAACGTCGCTGCTGCTTCGAATTCACTACTTCTTATGAATGGCTATGCACGTGGATGAACACGGGCGCCTCCAGGGTGTGAAGCAGCATATTTGAAACACCGCCTCTGTGTACACACCCGCTGGTTGAGCTGCGGAGTCCCTGTAGTGGTTTATTTTTTGTAGTTTTTTATCACTTTGAATGATTTTGACCAAATTAGGGAGTAACTCAACGGAAGCGCTAACCACGATCTGGTTTCTAGAACGCTCTGGATCTGTAAGCATGTCCACCACTACTTATATTTGATGCCCAGCCATCAGTAACATTGCAGCTTTCATTAGCAAAATGAATAGGTTAAAAGTAATATTTGATTTTGATGTCAGTTAAACATTCATCACTTAAAATTTGTGCTCTAGTAGTCAAGCAGCAATGCGTCAAGCGAGCGATAACGTGTTGGAGAAAGAGGTTAAGGCCGGATAGTTGAAAGGCACAGGATAGATGTAGTTTTTGAGGAATTCGTTAACCAATGGGAAAACACTATAAAGCGCTTAATATTAATGTTCCCCCCCCCCCACCCAAAAAAAAACGGAGCATCACTTTGTCGCCTTATTTCGGAAGTACGACTAGAAAGTGGAGTCCGTCGGAATTATGCACCTATGCGTATTGCTCACTGGCAGGCTACGGGACGACCCAATGAATTTAAATGTCCAACTGTTAACAATACCATTTTAAAGAAGTTGGACAGAACCATGATTGAATGACAGCTCCAGAGTGGGTTGTCATTATATCACCCACATCTAAGTCATATGTGTTTCATTTAAGGTGTTTGTCAAAAGTGAAACAAAAACATTTTATTTACCAATTGGGATTTTGCATTTCTAACTATAATTTGTTCATTTTTCCACCCTATTTTCGTGGATTTCAGTTAAACTTTAGTTTTGCAAACATTTTTTTCCTAAAAAATTACCAAGAGAGACTTGGAAATAAAAAAGTTCATAAATAAATAATAAAATGAGATATGAAGCATCGTACCTAAAATTTCATTGAGAAAAATCACCCGCATTCCGCATATTTGCATTTGTCATACAATTTTTAAATAAGAGAGAGGAGAGATGAGGAAACCAGTTTGCTATGGGAGAACTTGGGTACCAAATAAATGGTGTAGCGATGGTTGCTTTCATGGTATACGGACGCATGAAAGTAAGGTACCTTCGCTTTTGTACCTCTCCGACTGCGCCCGTAGTCGATTTATCAACTAGACAGTAAAGTACATGTGAAGAATAAAAGTCCTTGCGCCAATCACCGAGGCAGTGTGAAGGCATCCCTATCCTCACACTAAATTCAGTTATTTGGAGGAATTAATTTACTGTTTTAAACAGGTTCCAAGATTGCTGCAACTTCATGCCAATGGAGACAGGAGAAGGCATTCATTAGACACAAGGAGCAAACTCTGTCTGCCACTTTTAATTATAATTTTTCTTCCAGAATTAAATAGCAAATCCCACTTCTCTTTGTATGCACTCTGAAACTTCACCATCGCAAACTATCGTGTCATTTTATTACTTGGAAGTATAACGCTGCGGTAGGAATTTAGTTATTAATTTTGCTGAAATCAGAATTTGAGAAACATCCTTCACTCTCTGTGAGAGACAACTTTCCAGCTCTAAAAACACGCACACAAGAAGTAAAGTCGTTTGGTTTGTGAAAACAATAACTTTAATGGTTTGTGTGCATAAGAGTGTAAATTTGTCAACGAAGCCTGTAAAAGTGAAATTTTTGACGCTCTACAAACAGAATACGCCGGCGCTAAATTGACAGAGTGTACCATACAAATTAACCTCTCATTAAAAAGTTCTTTTTGTGAGGTTTTTGTTCATGCATACTTCCAACAAAATCATTTTTTTGACTTTTTTGTTTTTCTTGAAGTGCCCAAACGCCGAGTCGTTTCGCATTCACTTTACCTCGTTGGAGGATAACATTTATTTTTTAATTCTCAATGTAATTGTAGAGGTGAAGTGATTCACCATAAAATCAAAAACAAATTACAGGCCTGTTATAATGCCCGTATTGTAAGTTCACATAGGTTTGTGATTTTTGAAGCTTGAATAACGTTTACTTAAGAATGGTTGCTATTTTATTTCCACTTCAAACGAAAAATTCTTCAACCTAATTGTAATTCTTTGATTACGTGTTCAGCTCCTTGTTTTGGTTTCGCGGATACTTTGGGCTCTGCCTTTGTACTTCCACCGGGTGGCATAGACTGTGGGCTGTCAGAATCCTCCCAAGCCTTCTCCACCTTGGCAATACATCTTCTCCCTGGGTATTACGACTTCTTTCTTTCTCTACAATAGTGGCAGCGGACATCTATTCCGATGTCTATCATCGAATGCTAAACCTCAAAGTGACGGAAGAAAGTCCTCTGGTGGGGATGGGAGAATCTGTAATGATCTCCAACAGGAGGATTAAAATGACGTCTACCTTAAGCAGTTATCTTAGTCCCATGTTCTGCACGAATGTTATTTAACAAGTGAACCATCTAGAAAAGTTTGTTCGGGAGCTGTCTACGGTACCTAGGTGAAAATGTCAAATAAGTGAACACACGATACCTCCACCTTTCAACCAGTTGAGAAGAACTGAGATAGATATGGTTGAACAGCCATGAAATGAGAGCAGCACAGCAAGGAGGAGTAGAAAGGACACCTAATCCCCTGCATTTAGGCCTGTGTCCCTTTAACTAGCGATGGAATTACAAGATGATCAGCCCATTCTCCCTTCCCCTAATATAGTTCCCAAACAGGAGGGAGCTTCAGATCCAAAGGAATTCCCAAGAGGCATTAGCGACTTTGCGGTCAAATATCTTCTCAGTTGCATGCAAATTCAATGACTGGCCCAAGTGTTTTGTAGGCATTTTTTTTGCAGCACCGATTAAGTTTTAATGCCCGATGCAGGAGATTAAATAAAAGGGAGCGCCGAGGCCAACGCTTAAAAGGAAAGGAGGGCTACTTATTACTTTAATGATTTATTAAACCCTATGATTTGGTTTCGCGTGCACTTAAGGCCCAGCCTCCGTATTTCCGCTGAACGCCATGGCCTCCGAGTCATGCCAGCAGCCCACAGCCCTTCCATACGTTGGTGATACACTTTCTGGCCTAGTATTATGACTTCGTTTATTTTTAATATTTCAGAAACTGAATACTTACTATATTTGGGAAGTTGACAGTTCCAAGTGAATTTTCGTCTCCTTGGCAAGTACTGCTTGGAACTCCGGACGATCAATGATCAACTTTAGCATTCTGCCACTCAAAGAAACAACGTTAAAATCTTGAAAGTTTTGCACCAAACTCTCCTTCTTATCCACTAATACATTGGTCAACGAAGGCCGCGGTTTCACCTCCCTATCTTCAAATGCCAGCTTCTCCTCAGTCGGCGCGTCCATGTGCAAACCAGCATCATCCTCACTCAGTGATTTCTTCTCTGACTGAAAAGATGTATTCGAGGACCAGTCATCGGTGTCCGTGAGAATGTTGCTATCCAAATCCGGTGCAGAGGTAGATGGCGGCGTTGGTGGAGTCTCATTCGGTGGCGGAAGCTGTGCTGCAATATTTGCCGGCAGCTTTCGAATATGAGGGTTGCGTACACGCTCTTGTAGGGCTGCCATCACTTTAGCTGGATGGAGTTTGCCCGTTTTGAAGGCGTTTTCCAGCCACGCGGCTAGTACCTCCTTCTGGTTCGCTCCAACTGGTGCTTTATTAAAAACCTCCGTTTGAATTACCTCGGCCCAGTCAACCTCAGGATGTAGAGAACCAAGAAGGGATTGAATTTCCTTCACTGTCAAACTTTTTGAGAGTTTGATGTGAAGTGGAGTGTCAGTGGTGCTAGTAGGAGGAATACTAGGCTGTAAGTTGGTTTGTCCAGAGGTATTTAAAAGTGCTGACATTCTTGGTGTATTTTGACGTATCCTCTCATCCTCAATGATGGAGTGAATTGCCTTAGTTTCTACTGAAGAGTTTCTTGCGGTTGTCCCCATTGGGAGAGATTGGTTATAGAAGTCAAATGAAATAGCCGCAGTGTAACCTTCGCTTGGCCGATTTCTAATAAGTTGTATAGTCAATTCCTTGCAGGTAAATAAAATAAATTTGGAATGATTATATTCAAGGGAACTTAAAATTCAGTACCAGCTTACTTGAACATAAGGATCTGCTATACCATCCCCCAAGTCTTCCATAATCTTGACGACACGAACCACCGCATCAGCCAGATTCGCGGTAATAAAGGGAATTAGGAATTTTCTTACAGGTGTTGGAAAGCTGTCACCGTAATGAATACGAAGTTGTTTAACCATTGTACTTCTTCCGCTACCTCTGTTTCCTGTGAATATAAAATCAGCCATGTAGCCCATTCACATAAGAGAGATTCTTTTTTAATGCAGAACCTCTTCCAATTTTTCTAATGATGAGATGAAAATTTTGGATTTTTACCTCTTAATTGATAAAATGGTGTTTTTTGCCGAAAAAATTACCCAACTGAGGTATTTTACGTTTTTATGAAGGTAACTCATGAAGTGAAGCATTCTATTATGACGGATGTCGATTAAACAAGAAGTCTCCATTAAAAGATGAAGTAACGTCATTCAAGGAAGCAGAATGTTGCCACAAACGACAGGCAAAGTTTGGTCTGTCTTAAACACACGTAAATACTAACATAATTTTTTATAATTCTGCTTACACTCATATTACAATTTTTACCAAAATTTTCAACAATGTACCGAATTTAGCAATTAGAAAAGTACTTCTTTAAACTACACTATGAACTTTTTATAGGGAAAAAAGATGTGCCGTTCCATTTAAACAAAGAACGCCTTCATACTTTCATCAGATTGATAAATTATATCACAAAATTAACCCTACAACAGCGCAGGTAGTAACGAATTGGTGTTAGTAGTATATAAAAATCTCTGTATTCTTTTTGAGTATTTCCAAACATTGATGATAAATGCTTTTGAAAGGGAAAGTAGGAATTGATCAAAACTTGCCCAACAGGAGGAGCCTTATTTCACGGCGACGAAGTTCCTGATCCTCCAACAACTCTTGGTCAATCAAAAAGCTTCGCAAGCTCGATTTTCGGCATCTCATCTAGGAGGATGTCACTCTTTTAATATGCCATCCCCGCTTTGATAACTAAATCGTTTATACTTGTTTTAAGTAAAGACGGTTCGCATAAGACAATTACTTCTATGGATTCTCGCCAGCTTATTCTATTGATCTCAAGAAAAGTTCAAAAAAATTGAAATTACTAAATGGGTGACTTACCATTTTTACAAGACCTTCACGAAGATTCCGTTGAAAAATGAAGCTCTTCTTGAACACAGATGGTGAATCCGTTTGCATTTTCAACTCAGCCTAGCAATGCACGATTCGTTTAAACAACTGCAACCTTAATAGCCTGAATTACTCACCTAGCGCTGTCATTATTTACTGTCAAAATAGTTTACCCTTCGTACGCAAGCCTAGCTAGCTAATGACAGCAATTCTACTTCCCCCACAAGCCTAGTTTTAAGCAGCATCTTTGTTTGTAAAAAGGTGCAGGAAAATTAATGATTAATTTGACTTATTTATGCTTAGTTTCGATTGATAGTTTCAATGAATGAAAGCCTTCGTTGTCATCAACTTTATTAGTAAGGTCCAAAAATTTGTCACATTTGTGTAATAATACTTGAATAGATGGCATTTTGCTTACTTATGGGATGAGGAGCTACATGTCTAGCGATGGATAAGAAGATTCGCTTCTGTCGTAAACCCTAAGATGTGTTTTACCACGTAACGCGCAATGCCAGCAGAATGCAATATCCGCGACAAATGTTGCCCTAAGATTATTGGTTAGTAGGACAAGCCAATCAAATGTGAGAACGTCAAGGGCAGCAGTTCCACCGCCGAGCTACAGTGCGGTTGTAGGGGACGTGCTAACGCATCCACTCTGTCCAACATCTAGAATTAATGAAAAAAAAGAAACAAAAGATGCATAAGAAAATGTTGAAAAACCATGGCCCCAACAACGTTTGCGTAGTGTGGCAATCAATTAGTGCAATCAGTACCACTTCACTGATTGCGTCGTGAGGTAAAGTACTTATTTGAGGAGTTATTGCTTAGATGTTAGTAATTGTTATTCTTTTGAAAAGAAAAAAAACTAGACAATATCATTTGTAAATCACTGTGACTTTGACTTCCAAAAGTTACCCATTTATTACACTTTTAAGAGATGTGGTTAACTTTTTACCGTTATTAGTGCTGTGCATTAAATTACTACTAAGGGGGTCAGTTGTTTTTCGTAAGAAGCTGCAGTTCATTTGTTTTTAAAATAAATATAAACCATTTGATGAAATTGAATCGGCGGTGGTTTGTTGGATTTGCAGCAAAATTCACTGCCTCTTCATCTGCCCTGTTCAATTTACCTCTCCCAAGCACAAGCTTACTCCTCTCTGTCCCCCACTTCTCCCTTTCCCTCTCTCGGCCTTCAACTCAAACCACCAACAATTTGTGGAAAGGAAAAGAGGGTCTACTTGGAGGACTAAATTAGGTTTTCAGACCACCTCCTTACTCCACATTTTTTTGTGCGATGTTTGCCTGGTTTGCTGTACTCCTTTTAGTCTTTTTATCACGAAAGTGCATTACTGATATGCACACATAAATGCGTGGTTGTATTCTTCTCGTGTTTTAAGTTTGGCTTATCGAGAACAAATGGATGATGTAAAATTTAGTTTTACCGTATAAATTCATCCAACCTGGATGTTGTAGTTCTTTACCAGTTTGGGATTTTAACAAGTTTCGTTAAACTTATTTGATTAAATCTGGGTTTACCAAAAGACGATGATTTTTTTGGCACTTTAAGTTAGGAGCCAACCAAGAGCGAGCAGATGCTACCTGTAATTTATTTCAACGATGCTATTATTTACATTAGAGGTAGTGATGGATATCATAGACAATTTTTGTAATACAGAGTGAGTTGCCCAAAACCTTATGTGTCAGCCGTGTCAAGGCGCAGGCAGTTTAGAGGTGACAGCAACAATACCAGAATGTGACCTACTACACCTGCAGAGTGTGAGGTGCCAAAGCAAATTCAAGCGCTAGTGAGAAAACATGGAGGATTAATGTCTGGCAAATACGGTGAATGCATTATATCTACACAACTCGTCTTGTTAGTAGGATAAATATGTTTCCTTCTATGCCTCATCATAATTTAAATTCATGCCTCTTTATGCGTGTAGCATAAAACAACTAAGGACATAATCCCCTCACTTTCTTCATCCCTGCCAATTCTGAGAGGAGTGAATTTTTTCTGGACAACAATTAGAAAATCGCTTTTGTTCTATAAAATCAAGCTGTGTATTGCAATTGTCACTACCAATGGGCGACTTGAGATTCATTGTACATTTGGCGTCTGCGTTAAAAAGCAAAACTAACTGATTTGGAGAAGGAAAAACAAAATTCGTCGACTAGAACTTGAGTAGTGAAGCTCTCACGCTAACTTATTTGGCAATTGGAATGCAATGGCTAGACGAAGCCATCGTGCAAGGAACCATTAGGGAACAAATAAACAAACATGAACTACCATGCCGTTGCTACCAAGGTAAAATAAATTATTTTGTTTTAACTCTGGAATGAACTGGAGGACCCGTTCCAGTTGTGTCTGTTCAATTGAGATACCCGAAAATTTGTGCTAGAATGTTGGAAGAAAGTGCCAATTAAAGCAAATCAACTTAATAATCCTTTGTGATTTGGCCTGTTTTTGCCTTACGTAATTAAAAAGGAAAGCGTCAACTGTAAGGCTTATTACATTTGTTTATTTGGAGCCTATGGTGCTATCATGTAAAAAATACTATATTTGCTGGTTTTCTTGCATTAAAGAGCATATTTTTGTAGCGTTTTGACACGAACTAAACTCATTTTCTCCATTTAATTCTTCATCAACTACCTTGTGTAGAAATATTAGTATTACAATAAATAACTCCTCAAGGGTGTGTTTTAAAGGTTCAAGGCGAAAAGAAGAAGCAAAAATTCATCTCCTGCCATTATTTTTTATTAAAAGACAACACATGAACACGGCAAAATAATGGCAGCATATCTGATCTGTATCTGTAGCAAATGAGCGTATACAAAATCAACGACCTCCACGTTTGCGTCCGGCACCTTTTTGTCCCTCCTGATTGGCGGCCGTCGAATACTGCGGGCCTCTGAATTGTCCACCACCTGTGCTATCGATATTTCCCATTGGCAAACGGGCTGAGAAGGGTCCAAAGCCGCCCACTGCGCCACTTCCAGCCAGCATACCATACCGGTTGAGGAAGGGGTTCCAATTTATCAGATTCTGTTCCTCCGCCTCCTTGGCTGCTCTCTCGGCAGCCTCTCGGGCTAATGCCTCCTCACGTTCGCGTTTGCGTTTACGGGTGCGGGTGAGGAAGAGGATCATTGCCTTGTCTTTGTTGTTCAGACAGAAACCCAGCACTGTGCCGAAGATGAGGATCAGCACAAGAGCTAAGAGGGCCATATTAAGAAGGGTAGTGACATATTTTGGCACTGGGAGGCGATTACGCTCCTCCTTGGTGACCTGTACAATGGGCTTTTGATAGGTGCAATGAAGACAGGTGCACGCCTTCTCTACCTCCTCTTTGGACACGAATGAATCGTTTATTGGCATTTCCTGTGGTCAAATGAAGTAAAATTAATAGCTTGCGTAGCAAGATACTGCTTCATTCATGACTGTTATTCCACACTATAAATATAGTCATTTTGATCAAAGCGATGGAAAAGACACTGTTAAAATTACATTTACTTTGGAAATAAACTGAAAGGAAAGACCATAAAAACAAACAAAAAGTAATGTTTTCCTCGACAAATTCATTTTGTCATCTAAGTGTCCCTCTGTTTAAATCGCCGAAACTTCGACTAACAGGCTTTAATAGACTCACAACAGTAGATGTTATAAAAAACATGCTTTATTAAAGCAGCATTCTAAAGTTGACCATTTATTGTAGACCAAATAAATGAAATGGTTATCAAGTTATCTAAAGAATTGCGAAAAGCTTCTTTAAATAGGATAATTTAATCGTTGAAATGAGCATCACCACAAAAGATAATTAAGAATGCTTCCTCGAAGAGGCGCAAGCATGCGACGAATGCCTTCAGAAGTACGTAATAAAACATCTCACCAACTACCTCCATCTCCACCTCATTTTTACTGCCGTATACCTCTTTCGTATAAGTTTTATCACTTGCAGAGATACCGTGTTCATCTCCTTATCTCCTCTTAGCATTAAGTGCAATAGAAGTCTTCTCACTTGAAAGTGACACTTCCTGCCGACTGATTTATAAATTCTGTCTGTCTCCTAAGGGGGCAACTTTCCTGCACAACTTTTTACTTTATTGTATGGAGAAGATGAACCTAATCCATAGATGTTGTTGAGCCTGCAATACTGTGGGATAAAAGCCTCTGCCTTGCATCAAACCGATACACAAAGCATACCCAGACATGCTGTACTGAGTTGAAGCGGTGTATTCTATACAATTTTTGAGTAGTTTTAGATAATTTGGAGGCAAACAGTAGCAATTCCATTCGCTTGACAAACACTCTTTAAGATACGTGGATGAAGTGAAGAATATTATACAGACATTATTTAAAGTTTATTGACTATTTATCAACTGCCAATGAATTTGAGTGTGATTTTCATACAATTATCCATTAAGGTTATCCTTCCTGAGAAAAGATAATGCTCGTCACTTGAAAAGTATCAAGAACTAATGAGAGTGAGCGCCTATCTCCCTTTTTTCCTCCTTCCCTCGGCAACTTATGAGGAA